TATTATATGTTAAAGTATTCATACCACTTGCAAACACTTATATAAAGAAATTGAATTTACTGCTATGTTAAAAATTTAACTATTTACATATTACTAAATGAAATTTTTGAAGATTTTTTTATATAATTTGAAATATAGTAAGTACAGCAGCAAATATATAAGCAGAATTTAAAGCTATAGAAATTCATTCACTTAATTCTGAGTGAGTACTAAAGATATTTACTAAAGAGTCAATTACTTCTTCTGATATTGTTTAGTCTACTATATCTACTACTGCTCATAAATTCTACTAAACTATTAAATAAATTTATATATAGCAATTATTATTGAATACTGGTATTGAACAAATCATTTATGTTGATGAAAAGCTTGTTCTTGACAATAAACTTTTGTAAATTAAACTTAAAAGCATAGCTCAATTATTTCAGATGAAACTATAGTAGTGAAAATGAGACAAAATTTTTAAACTATTTAACAGAGATAAATTTAAACAGACTTTATTCTTTTTATCTAGTAAGATTGTAGTAGTATGAGACTGAGCTAAAGAGTGAAAAAACTGTAATAACTGCTTAGAGGAAGGAACTTCAGCTATAATAAGTTACTCAGTGAGATCAAAAGACTATTAAGAATGCTGAGTGCAAAGCAGCCTGTAAAGCAGTTTAAAAGACTACTTAAAAGACTATAAAGATTAAAAAATATAAAGTAGCTGAGACTAAAAAGTAAAAAACTATTGAGAAGATATTAAAGCAGTTACTCAAATATTAACATCATATAAATATAGTTAAATTCAAACTCATAAGGTCTATAAAGACTGCCTTATTAGAAAATTAATCAAATTCAGTATTAGAATTTTTATTCAGCACTTTTTTATCTCTTTTTCTTCTAAAAAGTAAAGTAACCGGGCTCTAGAGGCTTAGTAAGCTACTGCTCACCTGCAACCTGCCAGTCAGACCCTCTTATAAGGGCCCGTCAGCTCAATGTAATCTGCTATCCCAATGTTACTGCCTGTCTATATCCATGACATTTAGCTAATTTTTCAATAAATTGCTCTATATTTTATATATTCAAGTAGATTATAGTGTAAATAAATTATTTTTGAGGTTTTTTAGTAAATTTGATGATATTCATATAAATAGCTTTATCTTTGCAATATCTATTACATTTCTTCATAATTCTCTTTCATTTTGACTACAATTTCTTCAATACCTTCTTTATATCAACCTTCTTATTAATTGCTGTCATTTTATGGCAGTAGCTTACAGATATAACACCTCTCTTATTAATCACCCTCTGCAAGCTATGAAGGTAGTGTTCTCAAGCCAGTGTAGCAACAAAGATTTGAGATAGCTTCTTCTGCAAAAAAGTAATTGTATTGATCATTGCAATACTACTCTTATAAAGTTTTTGTAATTCTATATAAATATAGTCTGTGTCATAATTATCATTCTTCCTCAAAAACTTCAATTTCTGCTTATATCAATTGAATTAGTATATAGTAAAAGGAGTTTACCAGATCTCTGAGTCAGTGAAAACAGATCTCTCAGATTCCATAGAAGTTGATACAAACTCACATAATTTATTAAGAACAACTGATAGATTGAATAAAATCAAACTAGTTTCTTTTCATTCTTGCTTGATTGTATAAATCTTGAATGTTACTTTCTGAATAGAGATGATAGCATGAAGAAATTCAATCTTTGTGAACTTCTTACAATTACATTGTGTAACTTCCTTGACTGCAGCAGAATAATGATGTTTAAAAGTCTGAAAAATACTAATATCCAGAGGTTGTAAAAGATAGCTAGTGTAAGGATTTAAATAGAAAGATATGATATTGTACTTGTCATAAAAAGTCATAAATTCAAAAGTGCAATGGGAATCAAATCTATCTAATAGAAGCAGATAGTGGATTTCTTTGATGCATGCTTTGATAAAGCAATGAAAGTACTGAATCCATTGAAAAGAAATTTAATCATTATTATAGCCAGTGTTGAATATAGCTATCATGACATTCTTTTCTATTTCATCTATCCACCACTCTTGTAGCTGCTTTGCAGTGAGAATATATAAAAAAGAGATAGTAAAGCTGTCAGTTGTAATTCCTTCAATGATTGTAAGAGTTTCTCTATTATTTAAACTATCAATATAGATTCTTCTCTGAGAATCTCATATTATAATCTACTGATCACAGTCAATTCCTATTCTGAACCTCATTTCATCAAAGTTGTAAACATCACAGTTCTGGATCTCATGCTTCTCTTTTATCTTCTTAAAGTGATTAAATTAATCAAGAATGAATGAAGGTTGATTAGTCTATTTCTGCAGTATATTAATAATCTTTTGCTTGTATATATTATACTTCAGATGACATTGAAGGAATCTTTTAACCCAGTGCTCTCCAAGCCTGGGTGAAGATGTAGTGAAATTAATATAACTCTGCATAAGTAGAAATTTAACAGCATTAAAGATTATTGAATAATTGAGAGGTAGGTATAGCTTATCTAGAGATTCTATATAGAAACAGAGTGATTTTTCCTGGCCAGATTATAATAGTTGATTAGCAGGGGTTCATTCAATTTAAGAGATGAAATCATTATAACAATTCAGCAGTCAGAAGTAGAAAACTTCAAATTTTCACATCAATGCTTTAATATTGAGATTTTCAACATCAGACATTGAAGATAATGCATCTGCAATCTTATTCTCTATTAAAATATATGTAGAAGACATCATATTAGATAGTTATTGCATATTAAGAACAGGGATTTGCAAAAATAATCATATTTTGAAAATAATTATATTGAGATGGCGGATTACATTGAGCTGGCGGGCCCTCATAAGAGGGCCCGACCAGCATGTTGCAGGTAAGCAGTAGCTTACTAAGCCTCTATGGCCCAGTTAAGTCATTTTAACTATGCTATTAAGTTAAACACTCATTTATTTTCTTAATCATATTAATTTATATATAATTTATAATATATATATTTAATATTTAATAGCTAGTAGTAATTTAATCTATTAATATTTTAAAACTCATGGTTTAACAAAGCTATAAAATAGTAGATTAATAAAATCATTAAGTGGTAAAAATTATTGAGTAGTAAAAATTATTAAATGGTAAAAATTATTAAGTTGTCAATTCTATTAGTACTAATTCTATTCTTCAGTGAGTAGTAATAGATTTTTATTTCTAATCTTTTAGAAAATAAAAAATTGATAATATGATATTTTTTTATAAAATAAGATATTAGTAATATAAAATATTTAGAATTAGTATATAAAGTACTTATTTTAAATGCTAATTCTAAAGTGTCAATTCTGAAATACTAATTCTTTATTAGATACTTTAATAAGTAGTATAAGAGCAAGAAGCTTGTATAAAAGATCTTAATATTATATTATATATTTAACATATTATGAGACTTTTCTTAATAAATAAAAGTAGATAAAAGAGCTATTTTATCTGTATATATTATTATAAGTAAAGAGATAAATTTATAACTATTATTTTAAACTGTAGTAATTTACTTTATCTTCAAAGCTTCAACTAAAATAATCTGTTTAGTAGTCTAATTAATGTTAATTAAAAAACTTTTTTTATTAAAATTATTATTATATGATAACTTATAAGTTTACTGATTATATAAATTCTATTTACTGAATAGAACAAACTCTGTTTTAGTATCAATATAGCAACTTCTCACAATTACTTCACAAAACTATATAGCAACTATACTAGAGAAAAAGTTAAAATATAAAAATAAAATATCAAGAAAAAAAATAAAATATTAAAAGATATATAAATTAAATCTTATTTAGATCTACTTTTTAAAAATTATTTTGGTATTTTATTGAGATAATTTATCTAATTGATAATTAAATATCTGTTTAGTTATATTTAGATTAAAACTGTGATATATATTATATTTTTTTATTTTTTTTATTTAACTATATAGTCACAGAATAAAATAATTAATAATAGTTTATAGAGAAAAATTTAATATAAAAAAAATAAAATATCAAAATATCAGTTAAAAATAATATTTAAAATAAGTAGAATTTTTTACTATTTTATATTTTTGATCAATGTTATGAATATAAAATCATTAAATTTAAATCTTATATTACTTAATAAAATATCTTACTTAATAAATTTTAATAAATTCTTTAATAATTTTCATAATAAGATTTTAAATGATTTGAGATATAGAAACAAAACTGTGAACTATAAGCTTTTTTATATGAAGTAAAAATATTTATTACTGCTGATTTGAAAGTTTTTTCTTATATTAAAAGACTACTTTATTCTATATAAGTTACAAGTTATTATAATAATGATGTAGTATTTTCTTATTAATTAAGTGCTTTCTAGCAGTTGCAGTGTAATTTTTGATCTTTTAAGCTCTTAAATTCTTAATTACAAGTTAAATAGCTTCTTCATTTGACATCTCACAGCAGTGGAAGTTGAAAAATTAAATTGCAGTGCATCATAAAAATGCAGCTTATTTAATGGTAAGTCACATTACTCAAGAAACAGAAAACTCTTTCCACCACCAAAACTCAAAATCAATCCTGGATACCTAGATCACCACAACAAAACATCCTCCTGCCTCTCTGTCGACGACCTCTATACCAACTCTCTATATAACTCTTCTCTGCCTGGTGCAGACTGGGGTCACCCTTTTCTCTTTCTCCCCTCGCCTCTAAATATTATAATCCTCCCTCTTTTCTTCAGTGTGGCGTCGAACCTTCCCCCACCGAAGCAAGTCCAAACCTCAATTCTCAAAAATCAACATCTTTTGGTGTTTGTCGCTGAGATTATTTTTTTTCATCTTCATCTTCACCTCCTCTCTTTTATTACCCTCTATCCTTCTCGGTTCCCTCTCAACTCTCTGCAGAGAAAGTCTTCATCTCTCCGAGCGCAGATCCTGATCAGTCTCACTCCATACTGATACTGAAACTGACTGATTTTGACACATTCCTTCTCCCTTTCGCCCTCTATGGCTACCACGGCAGAGAATGTGGTCTTGATCCAAACCCCCGCAAATAATGAGAATTTGGCTCCCGATGCTGCTGCTCAGACAAAATCGGGCGACACCGTCACTGTCTTCCATGATCCGAACAACTTCAATGTCAAACACCCGTTGATGCATGATTGGACACTCTGGTTTACAAAACAGCCAAGTGGGAAGGTAATTGTCTTGATATCTGTGTATCTATAGATCTTTCTATCCATCTATCCATTATTTATAGTTGTTGGTTGCTGCAAGCACGAGAATATGCCAAGCTAACGATTGCCTTTAGGGAGACAATTGGAACGAACTTCTCAAGGAGGTTGTGACTTTTAACTCAGTGGAGGAATTCTGGGGAATTTACGTGAGTTGATAGTTCTGATCGCCAAAATGATATGGGAAATCACCTCCTTAACAACTTCTACAGAACAACATCACTCCCACCTCCAAACTAGGCCTGAAAGCAGATTACCACCTCTTCAAAAAGGGTGTCCGTCCCGAATGGGAAGACCAACAAAATAAGCACGGTGGTAAATGGTCGTACTCCTTCCGCGATAAGCAAAACGTTCTCATCGATGAGCTCTGGCTTCACGCCCAGCTCGCTGCCATCGGCGAAACCCTTGAGAACGACGGTGATAACGAAGTTATGGGCGTAGTCGTCAACGTGCGCAAGGGTTTCTACAGAGTCGGCCTGTGGACCCGGACTGTCGGCAAAAGCACGCCAGAGGGCCGTCCTGCAGAGAAGGGCAAGGAAATTCTACTTAATATTGGCAGGAAGTTCAAGGAGGTGCTACGCCTAAAAGACAATGAGATTTTGGAGTTTTCTGGCCATACCGATAGTGCCCATGCGGGGAGTACGAGGGCGAAGGCTAAGTTTTCGGTTTGAATGGGGATGTGCTTGTGACAACATATATTAGCAATGAATGCGGGCAGATGTGGAAGGGGAAAGAGGAAAGGTAAAAGCGAAAAAGGACCTATGAGGAATAAATACCTTATGTTAATTATGAAGAGGATGGATATGATAGTTACTGCGAAAGGAAAGAAGCATTGGTTGTTGAGACGGCATGGGACGAAACATTATGGATTTGGGATGGATATGCGATTACGGTTCATTGTTCTGCTCGCTGTCTCCTCCATCACCCGCTCCCATATTCCTAGTAAGTATAAGACACCCATGCGTCACTTTAAATAATAATAATCCCTTTATACTTCCGCCCTCTATTTTTAGATATACATATTCATTAACCCATCTACCACTTTTTACAACTCTTCTTCAAATTGACCACCCCATTAAAGATTAATTAACATACTCAAATTTATTAGGCTATGCACTACTTGTTCATTTCATTTCTCTGTTATTGAAGGTGTTGTGTTTTTGTTAATCTTCCCTTTTCCAGGGCGTTTGGGAGCTTTCAGGACTTTTCTTTTGCGAGCTTTGTTGTGATTGATTCTCCTTCCATGATTGATATAGGTATTTATACATTCACCTTATCGTAGCTGAGAGAAGAACAGTGTACGGCGAATAAACAATCTAAATTTAAGTCAGATATGAATGTTGTATTCCTGGGTATATGCTCCGTTGATGAAATGGCCCATCCAATTGAAACCGGTAGACACGAGAAAATGGTCAATCATCATATATGTGTTCTATTAACAGACAACTATCGAAATCAAAATATAGAAATTCTTGGCCTCCGTATCTCATATATATAGGCATCTATCAATACATCTATTATTCAATCCATAATAACGGCACGCCGAGCGCATAGCAAACCTTACCACTTGAAAACAACACAATTACATCTCCAGCAGATCCTCACAAATCAGCTTTTCCAACGATTTCTTATTAACTGTCTACACCATCAGCAAATCCATCCATACTATGTATCACACGAGATATTGCCCTCTACTATGAGTTGAAGAGAATAACTTACCTTTCCCCATCGCATTCCGCGGTAAGCCGTTCTTTAACACCCACATCTCTGACGGGATCTTGTGCGCAGCCAGTTTATCCTTGAGTGCGCGGTGCATATCCATGACGCCCCATGGTTTCTCCTTGCCATTGCGACTAGTGCTGGTCTCAAAATCTGGATCCAGGACAAGGACAGCAGCTACTTTCTGTCCCCACTGCGGCGATGGGAGGCCGAGGACGGCCGCTTCAGTCACTTGAGGTCTATACCGCAGTTAATTAAGGGTCACTCATGCACGTCGTTGATTAGGTAAATAGGGGAAGTGGAAAGTGAATAGGGGCATAAACATACAACGACAACAACTCCCTTTCAACCTCCAATGCGCTAACCTTCTCACCGCCAGTTTTAATGATATCCACATTCTTGCGGCCCTGGATGAAATACAGCGGGCCGCGACACCACTCCTGACCCCTCCCTGCCGTGCCAGAGCCAGGGACAAATCTGCGCACAGCAACATCTCCAGTCTTGAACCAGCGCCCCTTCCCATCTTCATCTTCGGTAAACTCCTCCCTTGTCGCTTCCCCATTCCTCCAATATTCCTTAAACACTGTCGGCCCACGCAGTTGGATCTCACCTACCCTCTCGCGGCCATTCGCATCAATCTCCTCGCCGTGTCGAATGACTTCATTGACATCAGTGTCAAAGAGTCTGCATTCCACAGAGGGGAGCGGCCAGCCAACGCTTCCGTCAACGCGGTCCGCGAAATCCAAGCCGCAACTAAGCGCCATACCCACCTCTGTCATGCCGTAGCGTTCTAGGAGGATGTTGCCGTTGCTCAGTTCTTGCCAAGAAGCTTTTGTCGGGGTGGGTAGGGCTGCTGAGCCAGAGATATTCAGGCGAAGATTTTTGGGTGAGATGGCGGTTCGTGCTGCTTGTTGAATTTCGGGCGGCAGGGTTTTGTGCGTTGATAGAAGCCTGTTATATATTGTTGGAACAGCAGTTAGGAATGTAATTTTCTCCTTTGGATCAGTACTACTGCTGCTGCTTTTTGTTTGGTCGGCTGGAAGGAACGGGGCAGCAAGTCGATTCCAAACCGCGGCTGGGTTGAACGGGAACATGAACTCGATAGACGAGCCGGCTAGAAGTGGTGCGAGGATGGCATTGACAGTGCCGTGAATATGGTGCAGAGGGAGCAGGTGCAGCAGTCGGTCGCTAGGGGAGTAGAACCATGCCTGGACCAAAGATTGCGCTTGTGTTGATAGAGCTGACTGTGGAATGAGGACTCCTTTCTATTCTTCATTAGGAGGAATCATGTCATTAGTAATTCATGGAAAAGCCACACTCACTGGCCGATTTGTGGTTCCCGAAGTATAAAGCATCATTCCACCGCGTGCGTCCGCCGAATCTTGAAAATGCAGCTGTCCAGCTGGATCCGCGCCATGTTCAATTTTATCAAGCACTTTCAAGAACGGAATAGTCTCTAAATCCGCCTCGAGCAATTCCTGGGCCTTCTTTCTGTATTTATCCGTCACAAGCAATAAGCTAGTTTGCGAATTGTCCAGGATGTACCTCAGCTCTCCGGCAGGGAAGCTGGGAGAGAGGGGTAGCGCGATTCCGTCGCAGGCGAGGATAGAGAGCAAAGTTACTATGATGCAAGTTAGAGCATTAGCATATCCTGCCATCGTCAACAGCATACGTTCTACATGTAGCATCGCTTTTTCTTTTAATAGCTAAATAAATAAAAAAGGGGAGGGGGAGTTAGGGTTGGGGAATAACAGTACCTACGTAGTCGTAACCATTCTCCGCCAAAAAAGCAACGGGGGCACCGCGTAACGCTACATTCCTAGGTTCTGCTGAAACAGATACACATTGTAACAGATGGCTCTTGGAGTGCAGGATATTGCCAATTAAGTTTCCATAGGTAAAGGTACGGCCAGAGACGCTGTGGACAACGGCTGTTGATTTGGGATCATGGCGGTCGAGGGCGCGGAAGACCGGGAGGTCGGGGAGTGTTGAGGAGGGGCGGGATTGGCGATGGGCGTTGGATGAAGAGTACATAGTGATTGCAGGTCTCGCGCGACAGCGACAGTATGAGCGAGTAAGGGATATTATTAAACTGTAGGATGTGGGCATGCTGATATATGTGCTGCGAAATATAAGACTCCTGATAACTTCGAATTTTTGCGTTTTAACCTATGGATGTGCTGCTAACAAAGCACAAGGGAATTGGGTTGTATATTTGTATCTTAACAAGGGGGCTGGTGCCATCGCTGTTCAATTCAGGGGGAATTGAGAGCATGAGAATTAGATCAAAGATGATGGCGGAGATGAAGGAGATTGTTAAAGATTTAAATCCTCAAACACTCAGGTAATTGGAAATTTTGTGGGGAGAGGATGCACAAAGAACTTATAGTTATCGTTATAACTGGTTACATAGTTAGCTAAGTACAACGTATTTGTTCCAGCACAATTATACAGTGCTGCAAGTCTGCTTCCTTATCACCAGTATATGTAGTATATATGTATATATAGAGACATATATACTTATATACATATAAATCCAAATGCTCCACCCCATCCTGCTACGCCAGAATCGCCTTCTGCCTCTTTACAAACAACTCCGCTTAGTCTCCAGCACAGCCTCAACAATGTCCAGCACACCTGTGGAAGACGCCATACGCAAGAAGGTATTTGCTATAGATATGTATATGTTGTTTCTACAAATAATACACACTGCTAAACTTCGTATCAAGCTCCAAACAACCCTCCAACCCACCACCCTCATAATTCGCAACGACTCCCACAAACATGCCCATCATGCCCCAATGCGCGGCGTCTCGTCGCAAGAAACGCATTTTCAGTAAGCAGCTACTAGTTCTATTTCCCATTTATTTATCCGAAGCCATTTATAATAAAATATGATTCATCCAACAGCATAACGGTCACATCACCCTCATTCGTAGCAAAGACGCAGTCTGCTCGCCATCGAATGGTCTATGCGGCTCTCAAGGACGAGATGGCCCGGGAAGGTGGTATACATGCGTTGCAATTGAAGACGAGGACAGTAGAAGAGGAGGAAAGGGAGAAGGGTAAGGAGAACGAGAATAATGGGAGTGGGTGATGGACTGAGTGGAGTGGCAGGTCTGATGGATCTGTTATATTTCTGCACATCTACATACATACCTGGATGCCCATACATGTATACATGTAAGTGTGGGTTGTGTGCTGCATATACAGCATTTTAAGGAGATGGTTGTAAGTTTTGTATACTTTCAAATGGTGTTTCTTTGTATTAACTGATCACATTATAATGCCCATATTCACGTTGATGTATACCTGCCTGACCTCACAGATACATCAGGTAATTTTGCAGGAAAATGGGAGGATTGCATTCATTGCCCTACGACCAGGACTCTGACGGGGTATGAAGGGGTGCGGAATTCTCTCGTTACAGGACCCGTACTATTCCCTTGCACGTTCAAGCTCTCACCAATATTTCCAACCTTAGTGTTTCAAGTCTAAGGTTGTTAAACCATATTACTGGTCTGCCGCGGAATGACCAAATCCTTCAAGACACGCAGAAAAGTATCAGGTTTTAGATATATATATATATATATATCATTAAGGCATACATCCAAAGCAAACTGTGTGTCAGATAACAAAAATAACATAAATGCAATTGGTGTCATAGGATATAAACAAAATACAAACGAGATATTTCAATGACAGGCAGACAAATCAGAGCAGGACAATGAGAAACAAGAAGCAGAAAATGTAAAAAGAAATGAATATCTGATGGAATGATATTATAAGTGTCGGTCGTTTAAAGGCCGCGACATATAAAGACACGGTAGTACAGGACTCTTGTAACAAAAAAACTGGGACAGAGGTCAAGAAATGGGGATGACGACAGCTGTGTACACGGGTAAAGGAAAAGGAGGAAAATATTGGAATAGAATAGAGGACACAATACAAATAAAAGGAATATGGTGCACCTGATCGGAAAAATAAAAACACTGATAAGAGGAAGAAGGCTGAAAAGCAAGGAATTGGTGCAATCAGTGCAAACCTGACCAGAGCAATATATGGGCCAGGAGGGGTTTAAAAAAACAACCCCAAAACCAAAAGAAGAAGAAAGGAGGGAATACCTCATGTACGTTAGTGAATATACGGGGGGTATTGTTATTGCGAAGATGAAATAAGAAAAAAAGTATTGAGTGTTGGGTGGGACAGCGGGTGGGATCACGACCCGAAAGTCACTTGGGAACCAGTTTGGTGACTCGTTGGCTTCAAGCTTCAGAGGACGGGGGAAGCAATGCTCCCGACTCGACCTTGGCCTAGAAGAATTATTTCCTTTTTTATTTTTTATTTTTTTATTTTTTTATTTTTATTTTATTTTGATATATATATATTTTTTTTTTAAAAAAAAGGACCGTCTAACAGGGATCTTTCGTTTACTATTAGGCTTTCTTATTGCCGCCAGGTCCAACGGTGAAATAGAGTGAGAGGACAAGGGCGAGAACAAGGATGATAAGAACTACATGACGTGACAGTTAGTGAGCTCATGAAATAGGAAGTTGTTACAGTATCTAATGTATATACTCACCAACAATGCCCAGACAGATCCACTTCTTCTTGTTGCGAGCGCGTGCCTTTGCGATGGCGCCGGTAATTTCCTCGTTACCTTTTTGCATATTAGCGTTGACATCTTCGGCTTGTTGATCGATCCTTTCGACAGCAGCTTCTTGCTGGACAACCAGGGTGTCAAGATCCTGGAACATCTGTGCCAACTCGAGCAGATCCCGTTCAATCTTCAAAATCTCGTCGTGTCTGGCACGGACTATCTGAGAAACCTTTTGGGCATCGCCGCGTCGATCGCTTTGGATAAGCTGTAGCTCGAAGTAGAAAAGTATAATTAGCATTTTATCGCAGTTTAAACAGGATGCACTATTCGATCATCTCGCCCTGGTTGGCATCTCAATGCCCCGGATGTTCACAGTTCGGTGAGGTTTTGGTACTCACTGCCTGGCTAAATATTTGCTGGTTCGAAGGGTCTTGGACGGCTTCTTTGACTTCCGCATCAGTAGCATCAGGCCGCACAATTCTGTACTGTCTTGCCATCTGCGCCTCCAAGCCCTTGCGGAAATCCGACTGCACGCGTTGGTAGTTTGTGATGGCGGCCTTGAGACGTCTCTCGACCTTTCCGATCTGAGCAGTGTTCATGGTCTCTCCGGATCCGGGGGACTGTTTTATGGCTTTCATGCGCTGGATGAGATTCTGATAGAGGCGTTTCGTCTCGCTAGCCAGCTCGTCTGCCTCTGCACGAATAGCATTTTCCCGAGCGGGGTCCGCATCGCTGAGCAAGCGTCTGTAGAGGCCCTTGATCTGTTCAATGTACCCGTCCACATCATCTATACCACGCTCGATATCTCTGCACTGGTTCAGGATCGCATGCCTATCGCCACCTGATTGAACGTAGCCCTGAGTTTGGTTGTTGTTGTTGTATGAAGACATCTCTGTTTCCCATATTATTTAGTGTTTGAGGAGCATGCGAAGAGGAAGGGATAGAGGGAGGGATATCAAAAGTAGATTCAAGAGAGAGCGATGACCATCATACCATAACCAGCAACCGCACCAGCACCGGCTTCGACATCGCTATTGTATCTGTTGTCTGGTCGGGAAGCATATGGATCGTATTGGCCGTAGCCTTGGCCACCGCCATGGCCGCCATAGTTGTTATACTGTCATGCGCCACGCAAACCAAAAGGTCTTCCATGTCAGCAAATACGCACTGGAAGAATAGGAAAGGGGAAGTGTGACAAAATCGAGGAAGAAATATTGGAGACGGAAAGTGGTTTGATGGGGGAGGTTTTGTGGGAGGGGGAACTGGATAGGCCGTCCATGGGCCAGATCAGCCAGAGTTTGGAGGAGAGAGACCCACGCTCATGACAACAGCAAAAACAAGAGAGAGAAAGAAGAAATTTCGGAATGAAGTTTTATTGGGGGCGCGATATGAAATTTAGAAGAGAAATGTCGGCCCCAAAAAGTGCAATGTTGGTGGGTAATAGAAATCCAGGGGGGAATGGATGATGAGCGAGAAATTAAATAAGGAGGCGGACAACAGAGAGAATTGATTACAAGTGTCTACGCGGAGAGGAAAAAGTAGATAGTTAAGAAAAGAGTCAGAGGGAGAGAAAGAAGATCAAAATGTAGGAGATACAATGATGAATGCACTCTAGTGAAGGAGAGGGTGTTGATATGAGGTTATAGAAGCAAAAAAATGAGACACAAGGAGAATCCCGACCAAGGTCTAGTGCCGCCTTAGTCAGACACTGGAGGATGGAACCTAAGAGACAGCTTAGATACTTGCTGAGGTATGGACTATTGGCTGGAGATCTAGGTTGCTCTTAAGTACCCTCTGGCGCAGAGCCGGGAGTTCAACTAAATTCAACAGCTAAACCATGCACGCACAGCAGTAAGATTAAATGGAAAAAAATGAAAAAAAGAGGAGTGAAGGTCCAGTTAATTGAAATTATGAAAACTACATAGCAATGCTAATATATTACTTATCATATTAAGCTTTAATGAAATCTCTTTTTCTTATTTATTGTTTATATTTGAATTTTTTTTTCAAAATTTAATATATTTTTTCAGTTATTTTTTGATAAAAGTTTATAATTAGATATAATATTATTGATTTAATTAAATAAACAAGTATTAATTTATATTATAATATAAAAATAATAATATAATTAATCATCTAATAAGACAGATTATTTACTGAGACAGATCTTCATTATTCAATATCTTTCTAATTGAATATTATCATAACTAGATAGTAAAACCAGCTAATTGCATTATAAATTATTCTCTATATGCTGGGAGCATGTATGAATAGTATGTTCTATAATATCATATTCACTACACTGTGATGCTGCTCATTTTTGTTATTACTTAATAAATTACTTTAATATTTCTCTTTACTCTGCAATGTATTTTTGTATATGATTCATCTCTTCTTGAACAGTCAAGTCCTCTCTCTGATTTATATATGTATAATATCTTTCTCATTTTCTTTTTCACTTTGCATTTATAGTTTTCAGCTTTTTGTTTTATTTTGTCAAAGTAACAGCACTACACATAGTCATCTGACCTCTTTTAACTAGCTTTTTCAGAGCTTGATTGATTGAACTAAGTAGACTCTGTGTACAGTACTTGAGATATTTCTTAATCTTCTTATTCTGAAGCTTCAGTTGTCATATATTATGAAATGTAATAGTGACTCAGAAGGCCTGAGAGCTATATGAGATATCTGAGAAGATTAATATATGTATTTAAATATTAAGCTAAGAAAGAATCTGTTCTGAATTGTATGAAGCTAGTTCTGTAGCTTTAAATTCACTCTGAATATTCTTTTTACTCAGAGCTGCTATATAAACTGAAGAATAAATAGTTAAAAACTTATTTTTATTAATATAATTGATGTCAAGTCTTATTATCTTCTTAATCTCTTTTCTGTATGCTTGCTTCAATGAGGAAAAACAAGTAACATCTAAAGAATATAAGAGATAAGAGAAATAAGCTGACATATAAAGAGAAGTAATCAAGTTTTAAGTGTAAAACTAATTAAACTCAGGATCATTATAACTGCCATGTTTATCAAGAATCAAGAGTTAATATTGACTGATTATACAGACTTAAATATATTTATTAAACATCTCTTTAAGTCAGATCAAACTCAGTTTATCAGTTGTTTAATCATTTTTATTGCTTTTAACCCTATAGTTGTATAGTAGTTCATTCTCAAATCATGATGTCTGATATAACTTCCTCTTGAGAATAATAATTAAAGATAATAATTAATCTGTTAAATTAACTCTCTCAATAATAATAACTTATTTTATATTTTCAGACTATACAAACTTCGGATAAAGAATCTTCTCTGACTTAGTAATCATTTTGACTATTTCAATAACTCTCATCTGAAACTCAATTTCATCAAAGTTATATATATTCTTTTATACAATATCATATTTCTGAATAGTATTTCATACAAGCTCAAATAATTTTTAAATAATCTTAGAATCTTCATATAGAGCTTATTGATAATCATATAATCAGAAGAATTAGATTTTTAACTCAGAATAACAGTCAATGATTAATTTAATCTAGCTTTCATCAACAGTTTTTGAGTTGAAAGAGTTGTCTTGATTAATAAGAAGAAAATTAATTATTTCTTATATAATGCTCATTCAGAAGAGCTGATCACATTTATTTATGAAGATTATTCACTGAATAAGAGATAATTTCTCAATAGAAATCAGTTTTAATTTCTTAACTGAGAGTTCTCTCATATTGTATAACTGTAAAGTTGATGACAAAAAGTTAAATAAGAGATATTGTACAATCTGACAGCAGCTTTAAAACTAGAAATTTGATTTTTTTTAACTGCTTCAATAGCTAGAGTAAGTTTTCCTTTCTTATATAAAGAATTATCATCTTTAATTGCTGATATATTAATCAATTAAGTAGTTAAATGCATTATATAGTGAAGATCTATCTCAGTAAATAATCTGTCTTGCTAGATGATTGATTATATTAATAAAGTTTTTTATTATATAATTTATATTTTATCATATAATAATTTTTCTTATAGTTAAAAATTTTTATATTTGATTAATATTACTAATTTATTAAATAAATAATTAAAAAAATAAATAAATAATATTTTATTTTATTTTAAATATATTATATTTAAATATTTTTTTTAAATTAAAATTTAACTATTTAATAAATTTATAAGTTTTAAATTATCAGAGTTTTAAATACTTTAATTAATATATTTTAAATATGTTATCTTTGATACTTGAAAATATAATATTAGTTATTAACATTATTTTGTCCTCTAATATAAATTTTAATAATTCAGTACTAATATCTTATAAAAGCTTTTCTTGATTTTTTTTTCTTAAGACTTTTATATAATTTATGATTTTTATCTATTAAACTTTTTCAAAGTTATATTGTTTAAATAATAATAGATTCTCAATTATATTATTATCTTCTAATAGTATATTGAATTGAATAACTTTATAATATGATTTTTATACTTCTTCTGAAATAGTAAATTAATTTTATACTCTTTTCTCATGCAGTTCTTTAGATATAAAGATTAGATCTATAATTGACTTTTTTAATAGATTTTGTTTATAGTATATTTTTTTATTAAATTTATTAATTAAATCAAATTCTTTCAAGATCAGTTAATCTATCAATTTGTCTACTTTTATAGACTGAGTGTAGTCATCATTTTACTATAAGTGATGTGCATTGAAATCTCTACTTATGATTAATTTTTTGTATACTGATAAATTAAAAAAAACTTTATTCACTATTTAACTACTATTATTTTCCTGTAAAGATTCTATATTATAAATATTAATTAGCTAAAGAAATGTAAATTGATTAAATTTATTTATAATATTATTAACTAGAATATCAAAATATGAAATCCTATCATATCTCAAGTTGAATTGAAATCTTGAGCTCTTTATAAAGTATATCATTACTTTAAATTTAACATTAATTTTTTTTAATAAAGAATAATAATAGCTAGAATATAAAATTTAAAATTAATATTCAGTATTTAAATTTTCTTCTTATATTAAAATAAAATTAATTTTTTAAATAAAAGCTATATTTAAATAAAGATGAAGAGAAATATTACTTCTTTCTATATTATTCTATAAAAATATAATGTTAGAAAAAAAAATTTACTTTTTTTTTTAATATAATAAATATTTAAATAACTATATAAATAAAATATTTTTCTTTTTAATATTATAGTTTACTACTATTAGGATTATAATAGCTTCTATAGAAATTAATTTCTGAGATCTAAGACTAGAATTCTTATAGAAGTAGTTAATTTGAAGCAGTTTAGTTTTTTACTAAGACTTACTGTCTGAAAACTCTATACTTTAGAATTTCTTTTTTTAGGCTACTTCTTGATGAGAATTTACGTATTTCTTATTAAAACTATTTAATTT